CAACACAACGCATGTCAGGTGTACATGAAGTGTACCTGCATTGCACGGGGGTTATTAATTTCCAGTGAAGTTCATGATTCTCAGGGGGAGGATTATTTATTTATTTATTCTTGTTTTGTATTAACAAGGTTTTTATCATTTTCTTCCCAAGTGTTCATTGACAGACAAGCACGGACTACTGTAAAACCGTTGAGTCGGCTATCATTGTTGCCGCTGCCATTTAATAAATGCCACTGCATCATTGTAGTCACACACTGGTGTATGATGAAGTCAAGAACTCTAGTCTAAATATCTATCTTTATCATCACATTTCTTGGGCCCTTTTGGATAATTCATGTAATCATGATTAGTAGTGGGCAAAACATTTTGGAAGATGTTTGTCTTCTGTCGGTCCATTGTAGAAATCAAATTATAGGAAAAAAAAGAGAAACCCAAAAATTGTAGAGGATGTTTCACATGATCATCTTGAAGGTTATCGAGGTGAATGTATTCTCAAATTCTTCACAAGAAAGAAAGGCCAACAATTAATTGGATTTGAAATAGTCGTCCGTTCCTAAAGCTGCATCATTTATGTAACTGACTGACTGACCGTGGCCTGTGTGGCTTTTTGATGCAATGAAAACATCTGTTTTATCTGAAGGAAACTAATCCATTTAAGCACTACCACTACAGTGAAAAATGCATGCTGTATATGGTCATGGTCAATGTGACTCATCCATCCATCCATCCATTCTCTGAACCACTTATCCTCACTAAGCTCGGGGCTGTGTTGGACTCTATCCCGGCTGTCATTCGGCGAGAGGTGTGGGACACCCCGAGGTGGTTGCCAGCCAAACACACAATTTGATTGACACAGCACAGTTTTCACAATTTTACTGTCCAAAGTGCTGTAAAAAAACAATGTATACAGATGTTCACTGTGAGGCTCAGCAATGCTAATTCTTTGGTCAATGATCAGACATGTCCCTTTTTTTTGGTCTTTTTTCCGCTTTAGTCACAATATACAATATTGCCATTGAGCGATTATAATTAAACCTCTGGGAGCTTGTGACTGTTGGGTATCAATATAAGGATGCTTGTGCTGCATTATGACAGAAAGGGCAGAGTAACTCTATTTCTCGTCTTGCTGACTGGTTTACAGCTTCAGGGATGAAGGGCCGGTCACCAGCGGCCCATTGGGACAGAGAGCGGACAAAAACATCACATAGCACCCACACTGCGCGCAAATCACCTTGGTATGTACAGTCGAACCTTGTTTCAACGTACCCCGTTTACGTTTTTACTCCTATAATGCTCGCATTTCAAAGTCCCGAGTTCACATAATTCATTTTCCATTTGCCGCTTTTGCTTACAACGAACACCTTTATAATGTCAACTTCATTAGAACGACGGGATTTTTTTCCCACAAAATAATGAAAAGGTGTTCGTTAGAACGAACCGTGGGAAGCTAACTGCCACCGCGACCTTGCTTGTAAACAAAATGCACAGCGCGGGATCCCCCCATTGCCTATCAACGCTACTGATCGACTCATACATTGTTGTACTTCCGGAGGCACAGCGCAGTCCTGAGCACATGGTCTGAAAACATGTCTAGTAAACGGAAGGAAATCTTGCTGTCTGTCCTTAGAATACGCTCAGTGTGTAGTGCGTGCTATGTTTGCTGAATACCATCATAAGTTCCACTCTCAAGCAACAGTCCACATTCTTCCAGATTACGAAACTCTTCCACGCTGATGAAGTTGTAGTCCACTCCAGGAACTTCCCCCTCTCTGGGCTGACGAGTTGTACCTGCCAAAAAGAGCACAGTTTAGAAGAACCAGACAGAAAACTAGTTCAGGTGCTCCGGATCCAACACTTGGCTTTCAGAGTACAGTGAATTTTTGATGCAGGGAATTCATCTTGAGCAAATTGTTCTGTCTGAAAACATCTGACAAAATGCTATTCATCTTAAACACAGTCTGATGAAAGTATCCAATGTCTGAGAAACCCACTTTTCAATAAATGGTGGTGTAAATTACAGTCAAACTCAGGTTTGCCTTTGAAGAAAAAATGTCAAAAGTTTTGACTTTTTCAAAACCTGTATGGCTCCTCCGGGAAATGAAAATCAAAAGCATTCGGGAAGATTTGTTCCCACTTGTCACAAGGTTCTGGGATTAAAAAAATAAAATAAAAAAAAACATGACAGCGATTGCCAGCGGCTGTTAATATGAGACAATGTTGATGCAACTGTTCAAAGCTAAAAATGGCTCCGTTTACTTCACTTTCAATCGACCTCTCAAAATAACCTAACCTAACCTAAACCACAAGGTGATGTTTCTGGTCCCGGGTCTTAACATCGCTGCAGTTACGATGTTGAAATAACAATGCTCCCATACTGCTGCATCTCATTAATAAAGTACGACACATTGCCTTGACGATGCTCTCATTTTAGAGATGCTGAAACACATTGTTATGGAAAACACTTCACGCTTCTTAACGCGCCAACTCTGCTTAGCATCATTTTCGCTGTAATCAGGGATTTTACAGAGCCACTGCCGAAGTCGCTCCGCTACGTTTGCACACATGAGGAAATTTAACTTTGCATTTAATGTCCCCATTCTTCATTTTCATTCTGTGCCAGCATCCATCCTGATGCAGCTGTGGGCCATCACTTCTAAAACGGCTCAGTTTGCGAAATGGACACCCGTTTATTCTGGCTGCCAGCAAAAGGGCGAAGTGGCTAAAACTACAAAAAGGGGACATTTTCCAACTTAATCCAACTAATGCAGTGAACCTTGAGATGAATCCGTTTATTTGTCATCATATAATGCTGAACGTTTTATTGTTTAGCCTCTTATGGGCAGATGTGATAGTTAAGACTGTTTCATGTTTAGAATCTTTTGCACTAATAGAGTAAGATCATACACATGTGCTGAGGTTGAACTGTGAACAAAAAGTGAGGGGGAAAAAAAAATCATTGGGCATCGCACTGCGCACGTGCCTGAGGACATGTTTGCAACCGTTTCTGGAATCACCTCTGTGTGCTCTGGCAAGAACAATGTATTAGCATTGTGAAGCCCACACGCAAACGTAAAAGATCAGTTCTGCTAACAGCCAGTTAACTCCCGGTTGAACTTCAAATACCGGTACTCATTAAAACAGACTGTTCATAAACAACAAGCCCATCTTGAGACAGTCGAAGCTCTTTTCAACGTACCCGGTTAGGTTTTCAGCACTGTAACGTTCACATTTCAAAGTCCCGATTTCACGTACGGTAATTCATTTTTCATTCGCCGATTTTGCTTACAGAAAACACCTTAATAACGTAGACTTTATTAAAACGACCAGACTTTCCCCACAATATAGTGAAAAGGACTTCGTTATAAACAAACAGTGGCAAGCTAACTGCCACCGCGACCTTGCTTCTGAATTTAAAATGTACTTTTTAAATTGTCAAAACGAAATCTCCCGGACGAAGCTCAGCCGAGACTATGAATTAGCAAAAACTGACGATTTTGACAATCATCTGTAATGACAAAAAAATTGAGGTTGAGTTTGAGGCCAACAGATTGAAAGATGATCGTAAACAGCTTCCGTGCGCGGCACATGTTGAACTGGAGAAGGCACTTTTCATTTGCTGACTGAATGTTTTCAGAGATGAGGTAGGAGCGCTACAGTTGTTTGCTTCATGTCTAATAAAATCATTTTTTTCTTCATACTGTATGCACATATTTGTAATTTGACATATTATACTGTATTACGTGTTCATGTTTTTACATCGATAAATGTTCATATTGCATTAAACATAGTTGTTGGTGGTCATTTTATTGGAAATAATTTTAACGCACTCCCGTTATAACGTACAAATTCGCTATGTCCCTCAAGGTACATTGTAATGAGATTCGAGTGTAACATAAATCAAACGTGACATATGGGGTGTGACTTTTTTTTTTAATCATTGGCCTGCAGAAGAAACTGTGATTCAACACCCAAGTGAGTTCATGCTCTGCATATCACAGAAATTGCCAGTCTATTTTTTGCTTCTTGTAGGTAAGAATATCTAACACAACTCAAAAAGCCCCAATATGCATCCATTCATCATCTATATATTGAGTGACCTTGTAACTTTTTTTTTTGTGTTGTCATCGAAAACTTCAAATGGTCTGACAATAACCTGTATGAACAGTTCCAATCTGGTTTCCGCCTACTCCACAGTAATTTTAGGAAAAAAATGTGGATTATCTCCAAATAAAAAAGAAAAGGCCAGTCATTGAAATGTGGTATTTCCTCCCATGATTCTTCTTTAATCAATCAATATATTTTCATTTTATCCAAATACTCTGTTATTCAATAGAAACTTTAATAGGATGTCCAATTACTAAAATATTCTATAACTGCAGCTTCAGTTGCTATCCCAACTCAGAAACATGGATTCTTTCATCCATTTCAAATCACAACTAAAAAATACAATAGCTTACATTTTAAACAGCTCAGCTATACAGCCTATTCAACCTAATACAGTACCATTCGATCTGCCTGTTTGTTGTTTTCAATTCATTTCTTTCATTGTTGTATAGCGTCCTTGAGTGCCAAGTAAAGGGACTTGAAATGCATTATATTGTTATCTCTGCTAAAGACATTAGCTTCTCGATACACGATTCCTCCATTTTCTCTATTTGTCTTTGTTTCTTATCTTCCACTGAGACACAGTGTTGGTCCACACCCATAACGGATAGCCAGTGTAAAAGGTGAGCTGTGGCTGGCACTGAGGATGTATCTTGGGATTCTGCCAAGATGTGATGGATTACCTGGTGGCCCCGGACCACTGGCACTGTTCAGCTCCTGTCATCTTTATAAGAGCCAAGCACAATATTTAATAAGGCTTCAGGCTGTCTGGTGAAGTAGAAAGTCATGCTTCTACAACCTTTCGCTATGTTCCTTAGGCTCATGCTCGTGTCGACGAGCAGGCTTGGACTACCGGAGCCAGACAGCTGCAATTCATTTGAAGCAACAACACAACAATAAGCCGAGATACGGCTCAGGGGAAAAACTTTGCTTGTTGATATCACATTGTTGCTGGATGGTGACTTATTGGAATGTTCCACTCCCAACTAAATGTGAACTCACTTGTAAGCTAGACAGTGTGTTTGAATTATTGGACTTGGCGTAGCAACTCTTGGCGAGTCCACACATATAGTTTGCTAAAATGGCAATCATCTTATTCATCATTCCAGTTGCAATTAAAATTATTACTCTCATACTCACAGGGAATCGTGCGCAGGTACAGGTTGTCCCTGATCACCTGCTGAAGCTTGTGGTCCAGGGAACCCTTCTGGAACTGCAGGCTGAGGTAGTGATGCAAATCGGCATTCAGCACCTTCCCTAGGAAAAAAAAAAGAAGACTATATTTCAGTCATCCCCCCAAAATATTATTATTATTTTATTTTTTTTTTGAATTGAGGTAGGAAAAAAAAAGAGTAAAACGTTGAATGCTCATGACTGGTAAAGATTTGGCTATACACAATAGTGTATCAATACACCAGGAACGAGGAACCACCTTATGACCACTTGCTTGTGTAATCATAATGAACCACATAAGCTGTATCAAATATTCTGCAAATACAAAGGTATTAATTAGTTTTTGATAGACACTGTAAGAGTGATATTAATTCATTAATAAATTATACTGAGAGCTGTTCAACATAGTTTTGATTCATGCAATCAGAATCTGAATCAGAATCGGAATCATCTTTATTGGCCAGGTATGTACAACACACAAGGAATTTGAAATAATGAATTCAAGAAACAGTAACTGAAACTACCCACGGCGCTCACTTAAAAGTGCAACACCCCTGTAAACTACAACCATAGTATGAGGTATTAAACAGTTTACTGGATATAATTACCTTGTACAGGTGTTCAAAATGGTGTGTGTAACTTGTGTAACTGTGTCACCAGAATTAACTGACAAGAAATCACAAAGGGCACGGTGTACTGAGACCCAAGTTGAAATCGATTCTGTGTAACCTAACCTGTGTAGTCACTTGATTATAGTCAACCGCTGCCAATGTGAAAACATTTCAAAATTGTAATCAGATGTGTGTACCACATGACATGGAGAAAAGTAAGAAAGTGAGACGACCTTTCAGTGACTACTGAGAAAGCGAAAATATAATTGTTTTTAGAAGCCTCAGCGGGAAGAACTGAAGAAGACATTTGGTTCAGCGGAAGAAAGACAGCGACGCTAGTCTGAGTTAAAACTCAAAACAACAAATAAGGGTAATGTTTATGAAGAAATGTGTGTTACGCAACATTTTGCTGTTCAAGAACGCTTGCTGGCTGCATTGCAGATGTCTAATAAAATCATTTTTTTCTTCATACTGTATGCACATATTTGTAATTTGACATATTATACTGTATTACGTGTTCATGTTTTTACATCGATAAATGTTCATATTGCATTAAACATAGTTGTTGGTGGTCATTTTATTGGAAATAATTTTAACGCACTCCCGTTATAACGTACAAATTCGCTATGTCCCTCAAGGTACATTGTAATGAGATTCGAGTGTAACATAAACCATGAGGAACTAATATTTCATCTGGAATTCGAAACAACTCGGGTGTGCCTGCTTCTTCATTGAAACAGTCGAGCAACTGCGGTATAGCTGGGGCCAATAGACACACTGTTACGCAACTCTTTGGACTTTTTACCAGAACAATGCGAGTGAGGAATTTAGGTCAAGGGAATATAAGCTGGGTCTCAATGCACGTTGCACAAGCTTGCGGTCTGGTGTTCCCAGAACCCGAAATATGGAAGACATTCAAACTAAAAACATAAAACAAAACAAAACAATGTCATTTCTGCTTCGGAATGTCCAGGAAACCAAACCCAGAAAGGATCAGCTGGAATCAGTCGTGACAATGGAGGTTACTAATTGTCGCCATGGGATTGCAGAGGGTAGATGCCCCATCGGGTTGACAAAATCAATCTCCCAAATGTAAACGCATGCAAATCACCTCCCCTGTCTAAAGCCAAATCCAACTCCGGTACACAGAACAGGGCAGTCTTTGTGGCTCGCCTGTCAGGTTGCGTTAGTGTGCCACATCATATCTCCATAGACAGAGAGAGGCAGAGAAAAAGAGAGGGAGCGGTACCTCTGAGCTTTCCGCTAACTTACATGGTAGCATCATCGCTGGCCTGCCAGGGTTATGGTTTGATGCAAGTGGGGCACAACAGAAGTCTTTGTGCTTTGTCATTTGCCTATTAGACAAATACCATTCGGTTTCAGGGGTGGAGCATCATTAAAAACTGAGGGAGGGCAGGGATGAGGGGTTTTTGTTAGCAGACAAGAGTAATGGTGATGACATGGGAGCGTACAAGAGAAACGTGGCTTGTCCCGATCCTCCTCTCATCATTATCGCTGCATCTCTCCTCTTTGCCTTTCTTGCTGCGGACATTTATCATCCCAGGTGGATCCCTGTGAGACTGCTCGCACCTTTGCTTAAGATCACTTTCAGAAATACCAGTCAGCTGAATCCCACCTCTCCTTCTCCGTTTCCCCACTACAGTATTTGCCTTTGAAACGTTTGATTTACCTTCTCTTTCCGAAGACTCCGTTCTTAAGTCATGTGTGAGTCAAGTTGGTGTTTAATAATAATGAAGATGGTGCACTTAAATTACACTAATAAATTAGAATTGTAACACTAAATTTTTTGCTAGGTTTCCAAAACATGTGTATGTCTGTGAGAGTGTACTGTATACTTTTCTCTC